GGGCCATTTTTTATATATGCTGGGTGCTTCTTATATCTCGCTTGACACGATATAGAGCATAACCTTGCCTCAAGCAGACTTATGGTGGGCCTGCCCAGCTGTGTTACGTACGTTGTTTTCCTTTTACATTGGAATATTTTAAAATATATTATATATTTTAAAATTTTAATTACTCGTTCATAGCACATTAAACATTGTTCATGCAGTTAAAAACACCACACAACTTTTAATTTGTTTTGATAGCATTCGAAAAAGCTCTTGACATTTAAAGAAATGACACATTTCAAAAGATGTTACTGCTATTTTTGTTAAATTTTAATACATAGTAAAAAAAAGTTTGTGCAATTCAATAGCTTTTCATACCATTCAATAAAATATTCATGTGTTATATAAAATGTGTTCATGAGATTTAAAAACTGTTTATACGGTGTAAATTGTTAATAAAAGGTTCGTGCAATTTTAAAAAAGGTTCAACCTGTATTTGAGAAATGTTTAACATATTTTTTTTCAAAACATATGTTTGAAAAAAATAGATTATGTATTTTAAAAAAGGTTCAGCGTGTATCAAAAAAGGTTTCACACGTATATGAAAAATGTACAATGTATATTGAAAAAGTAGTCATGTGTTGAAAAATAGAAAACAAAAAAAACTAAGGAAACCAATGAAGAAGCACAGTAAACCAGTCAAAAAACATGTAGAAGCTTCTAAAACCAGCAATAGAAGCTTCCTAAAACCGGCCATATTGGGCTAGCCTGTGTAGCGAACGCCTACTATGAGACGGAATATCGTCTCCTGTAGGCAAGATATAGCCCTCGTGATATATGTTCCCCTAAAAAACGTACTATAGATATCCTTATAAATCGTGGTCTTAAACTGTCAAGCAAATTAGAACTTAACAGCACATAAGATTTGCAGCCTAGGTTGATCTAGCCAGCAAATGTCCACTGAGTTAACTTAGGCCCAAATGCAATAATACGCCTCAAAAGTTGTGCAGAATTGATTGCTCTTCTGCCTA